TCTCTCTCTCTCTCTCTCTCTCTCTCTCTCTCTCTCTCTCTCTCTTTCTCTTTGTGTTGCCGTGGGAATCGTTTTCTTTCCCCGTTAACGCTCGCGCGAGCGTGACATTCCGATTTTTATTCGATCTGCCTAATTAACCGGCGAACAGACAACAGACGGGAAACAATGTCGGAGCAATGTCTGCGTGAACGCCTGAGAAATTGGAGCGCGCCTCTCAGTCGACGTCTTTTGCGTCTTTCTTCAAGCATTTCTCTCATTTCCGCGGCCTGCCCTCCTCAGCTTCCTCCCTCTCTTGATAATACAAAAAGAAGAGAATACACGGACGTGACCTCCTGATTTCCCTTGAATCCCTTTAATCAGCCAAGAAATAAGAGAAAGAGAGAGAGAGAGAGAGAGAGAGAGAGAGAGAGAGAGAGAGAGGGATTTCATCAATAATAGCGTTAGACGTTAGAACGGGGCCAGCTGGAGCGCCCGCTGGATTTTTCTCGATCTTACAAGTCGCATCCCCCCTGCGCGCGACTGCATCCCCTGCACGCGAGTGCATCCCCTGCGGCTTAACACCAGAACGCCCGGGGAACTTCAATTCGCCTTTGGATGGGATGCCCGAAGGAGTCGTTTTGATTCCTCGCGATTCTGACATGTTACAACTCTCTCCGTTCCTCATTACTCGTGTGCTTCACATATAATTTGTGAAGATTTTAAGGATATAATTTAAAAAAGTCGCGAGATATTTTTTTTCCTAAACCATGGGAAACGTGGAAGTGGTGAAAGCAAGGAGAGCTTCAAGTAATCAAAGCGACTCCACCGGGCATTCTGGCGTTAAAAGTATCCTGGCACCATCCCGCTAAAATGGCATCGTGTTTGCTCGCAGTGCAAGGACCTGCCCGTTGCACGGCGGACCGCAGGATACACGAGGATCGCGCGTCGGAGCCGCTCGACCGGGGGCCGTACTTCGACGTCTCGGCCTCCCGCAACGTGACGGCTCTCGTCGGCAAAACGGCCACGCTGAACTGCCGAGTGCGGAACTTGGGCGATCGCACGGTGAGTAGAGAAGTACGAAGTGGGGAAGAAATGGGCGGAGGGTACCGTCCGGTCTGCGCTAAGAGAAAAGAATGCTTGATCCGATTAAAATTGTCATTACTTTCGGCCCCCAGCCATATTCCTTGATTGCTCCGGCACGAGAATGCTAGTGGTGACGTGCAAATGAGATTATTATCACCGACATTATGATGGAATTTGATAAGACAGAAACTGGTCCCCTCGACCATGATTTATAGTTAATTATTTCTCTGTGTGTGCGTATATTTACAGATATCGAGCATTTTTTCTCAGTGAGCGCATTACGTGGGCGAGAAGGGAAAGGACGCAATGGCGTATATTTTATCTTAAGACCGAGTAACGAGATTGAGAACGAGAATGAGACCTGCTGCGCCCTCGTTGCGCCAAGAATGCCCGATAGTATTATAATAAAGCCTGCTATTTTCCTACGGTTTATGTAGTTTCAGAATTTTAATAGCATTATCTCTCTATTTTTTTCTCTCTCTCTCTCTCTCTTTCTCCCCCACTCTCTCTCTTTCGTCAATACACAATCTGGTTGAATAGCCAATAAAGTTGAATATAACGCTATCTCGGTAATATTATACAAGTTGGCGTAGAATGCAAGGAAAAAAAGTAAATATTGGCAAGAAGAGATTTCTCTTCTTTTATCCTCGAGCTTATCTCAAGTTCCTCACGAGAGAGAGAGAGAGAGAGAGAGAGAGAGAGAGAGAGAGAGAGAGAGAGAGAGAGAAGGGAAGGGAAGGAGAGAGAGAGTAGGAAATAATTTATGAAGAATTCGCCAGGATGAAACCTCAGGAAGTATTCCTTTAGCGGGTGCTCGAAGTGCATCTAATATCGGCGGCGGAGAGCCGGTCTCGATTTTTAGCCGCTCGTAATACGCATTACAGCCCTCGCTCTCGCCTAACGCGCCCGTCCACAGCGTATCGAAATCGACTGTCAGTGGTGCAAAATATATCAGCCGTAATATTCTTGCCGGAAACTTTCGCCAGAAATGGATTGCCTCCGACCACTGCGCGAGCGCGCGGACTGAGATACAACGTTAAAAGCCAGTAGATACCCGTAACTTACTCGAGACGTGTATGTATTCTCTCGTGTCTATCAAGTTGCCTATGCCATATCTGGCCCAGAGACCGAAGGTACAACGAAGATTCTCTCCTTTCACCTCCCTCTAAGTCCTTTCTCTTTCCATCTTTTTCGTTCTCTCTCTCTCTCTCTCTCTCTCTCTCTCTTTCTCTCTCTCTCTCTCTTTTGCTCTCACTCTCGCCCTCTCGCTACGCTTTCAAATCTGGAAACTATAACGACTATCACGCGCGACTATCGCGTCCGCTTGGCAACGCACACGTGTTCCTTTCGCAAGATCGCAACGCGATTCGCATTCGCGATTTTCTGCAATTGGAGAGCAAGCGAGAGAGAGAGAGAGAGAGAGAGAGAGAGAGAGAGAGAGAGAGAAGGACAAAGAAGAAAACGCGATCACCGTCGAAACTCACGGCAACTCACGACAATTCGTGAACACGGCGGCTTCGCTCGGCACACCCTCGTTGTTCTCGCTCGTTTTCGCCACGTTGTACACGGGCGTTTTCGCCACCGTGTGTATATATGTAATAAAGTTGGCTCGTCGCGGGACACTTATGTAACGAGGTAAAACATTGCTGGCGAGGATGGACAAGACCACCGTATTTTTCTCCTCTTCTTTGATTTTTTCCCTTTTTCTCTTTTTTTTCTGTTTTCTCTCTCTCTCTCCCTCTCTCTCTCTTTCTCTCTCTATCTCCCTTTCTCTCTTTCTCTCTTTCTCTCTTTCACATTCAGCTAGCGCGGCAGAAAAATTTTCACGAGAGAAAGAGTTGGGGCGAGTGCTAGTCCCCCGTATCTTTCGCGTCTGAATTCTCGCTCACCACACGTTCGTCTCTCTATCCCGTTAACACCGTTTTTTTTTTTTTTTATATACCCCTCACCAGTATAATCCGTCTCTTTGCTGCGCCCCATGTGCGTAGATAGTTGAATTATTTTTCACAGAGAAGCAAAGAGAGAGAGAGAGAGAGAGAAAGAGAGAAATGAAGTTAGAAAAGACGAAAGAGGCGCGTGCGCGCAAAACGACGTGAAGTTTTAATGTGAAACTCGTTAAATACACCGAATGACTAATCGACGCCGGGATTATCGCAGATAATCCAACGTTTACGGATATTCGCAGAAGAAACGAGATACGTGCAATTTTCACGCGCGAGCGGTTTAATCCGCCCGCATCTCTTCTACCGCGGTTAAATTCTTTCGCCACAGCACGGAACATCACCTCGCACGCTCCAGTTTGTGACGTTACGCTTGTGACGTCATATTTCAGCCCGCCAATTGCCCGTATAGTAAAATACGCAATAGAACACGACATCACATCGCGCTCCATTTCATCAACATGACGCAACATAGTACGATATAATATGTTATAAAGCAGTATATATGAGAAGGGCGAAGTCTCTCTTTGTCATCCGCAACATAACGGTTGACATGTCTGCGGCGAAATCCTGGACGAGTCGTGATTCGGCAAAAAAAAAAGGAAAAAATGAAATACCCTCCCACACAACGCAATCCCATCTATTACCGTCATTATACGTTCGTAGATCAAAAGACAGACTTTCCGGGGCTTTCGTGATTCTTGATCTCGGCGACTCTCCGCGAGTGGCAATCTATTGTACGCCATAATCACACGTGAGGCAAGGGGGGGGGGCACGAGGGAAGCAAGAGGAATGAGGGGCAAAGAAAGAAAAGAAGAAAGTAAGGAAGAAAGTTTCGACGTTATGTGACGCGCGCTTGGCAAAAGTATTCGGAAACGCGGGGAAGCTCGGCGAAAGTTG